TCAATATTCTGTACTTGTGTGTGTGTGTGCGCATTGAATCCTGGTAATTTGGAATTGTTAAGCCAAAAACTAGTCTTGGACATGAGTTCAACCTGCTCCCCTTCTTGGTTTACAAAATTCACTTAACAATTGATTTCTTTTTCTTTGGATAAATCTTGGAAACATTTTTTAAAACCAATTCAATGCAATAATATGTTTAATGATGGGAATTGAAGCCACAATAAAGATTATACCTTGACACAGAAGATCTCCCTATCTCAACTTCTCTATCTACATGGGAAACACTTTGCTTTTTTATGTTCAATGCAATTTATTTATTCTGGCAAATCTCCAAGAATGCTATGTACTGAATTTTCAAGTAGAGTTGTTTCCTTTTTTTGTGCATAACAACATATTTCAACTGTATCATGTTAAAACAGATACTACACTCTGACCCCAAAAGATACAATTTCTAATATATAATTTATAACTGAGTAGCTTGCTATATTTATTCACTACCAGTGCAGGCATCATTTGTAAACTGAATTTTCAAAATTTATTCAGTACCAGTGCAGGCATCATTTGTAAACTGAATTTTCAAAATTTAAATAATTCTTGCACTCCATGAAAATAATTGAGGAGCAATTATTTTGTGAAATTTCAGCATAATTAAAATGTATTATCCTCCTTGTTATTGGTAGTTATTTCAACCTTAAAGAAACAGATGAATTGAGAGATAAGAATTTTCATTTGTAAATATGTTGATGATGGTTCAGTATTCAATTTGGTCTTTTAAATGCTTTATAACTGAATCAGAAAGCATATTTTGTGAAATGTCAGCCTTCAGTTTTTCTTGATGACAGCAAAATAGTATTTCAAAAATTAACAGCAACTAAGATGAATGCTATAAAGTAAAATTATTAGGAAAAGTTCATGGCTAATGAACTTGTCACACCATTTTCTATATTCCTGCTTGTAAGAGTCAGTCTTTGATTAGTGGTTAGTAGGGCATTAGTGCAGTTGTCTTAAAGCGTATCTCATAGTGATAATATTGATATGTTAGCAACTGGATAAAGCATGGAAATTAATGACATTCATTCTTCTCATGTTCTCAGATTTTCCTGATATTTTATACGAGTTGTATACACCACAAGAACTACACACTAACATGAATATTTATTACTCTTTATAGAATTTAATGGCTGACTCATTGGTAAAGACACTGATTGCATGTGCCATGTTCATAGCTGAACACATATTGAAAAAGATTGATTTTTTTCTGTAAAAATGAATTTGGCAAATAGCAAGGAAATTTGTTTGACTTCAATCCAATCAAGAATGTTGAATCCATCATGAAGTTATATGATGAAACTATCTTCTTGAAATTGCTCAAATAATCATAGCATTTCCAAAAATATTTGATAGGCAAAGTTTGGATCAGAATTAAAAAGTGAACAAATATTTAGGAAATTCCTTTGCATATTTGAAACTAACTTGAATTTTGTGAAAGAAATAACTTGATGGTACTTGGAATTAGTGTTGGTTGCAAAATGGAGGCACAGTGGAGTAATTGATAGCGGCTTGGATTGAAGAGTCAGAGAGGCGAGTTTGAATTCCAATCGAATCTATTACATTCACTTATGTGCTAATACCCTTGGGAAAGGTATGAATCCTTTTCTTCTCCCTCAGCTTTGGTTAAATAGCAGGATAGACCAGGTTCTATAGCCTTGGATAGCAACTGGTCTACTGGGCAGAAAGAAATGGCAACCTACTGTGGGAAAAAAAATCTGCCTCGTCAGTCATGTATTGAAAGATACATGATCGGCTAAGTGTATATCACGCATGACACATAACTGACTGCAAAACTAGTTTTATTATAATACTCTTTAGCTTCCATAAAGGATCATTTTTGAAACTACCTTTCTTTACCATTTCTTTCTTTAATGTCTACATGTATTGAGTAATCAGCCCTACTTGATTTGGATTAATTTGCTTAAAAATACAATTTATAAAAGCATCTAACAAAAGTTGAATTAATGTTCATGTCATTTGTTTAATATTCAAATCCTCTATAACAGGCAGCAAAGATGTACACAAGTACAAATTATAATGCTTTTAATGTGTACACATTAAGCAACATGATATATTCCCCCACATATTTGCATGAACTGTGCCTCTTACTCTATAATTCTCTACCTTGAATGGCTCTTGGGCCTTATACACTGTAAACATCACTGTAACAAAAAATTTGAAAAACTTGCACATAATTGTACAGTACATCATGTCTGTATCAATAGTTACTAATTGTGCCTTAGTCTGGCACAGGGAATTTAAAATTATGTTTTCTGCATATATGTTCAGATTAACTGACTTATCTGCAGCTTTCATTAAGAGGCAATGAATCAATTGCTTGTGCCACTTAATTAATATTAAGTGGCACAAGCAATTGATTCATTCAAATAACCAGTGTTGGGAAAGCATGCTTTTTGTATCCGTAGTCAATGCTTTCAACTGCCAGAAGACAGTATGGTCATCAGCAAGAGGAAAAGCCCAAGATATGAGTTACAAGTTGGAGATGTCAACATCAAGCAAGTACAAAAGTTTAAATAAAGTGTTTTAACACTTTATTTATACTTTTGTACTTGCCTGTTAAAACAGGGGACAGAAATTGTGACACTGAAATCTGAACATGTACTGGACTTGCAAAAGAGGCAATTCCAAAATCTATACAGAGTACTGAAAAACAGAAAAATTTCATTAAAAATAAAAAAGAAGAGTGCTAAATTGCTGTGTGATATCAATCCTCTCCTCTTGTATGACATTGAATACTAGACAATCTCCAAAAGAATAAGAAAACTGGAGACAACAGAAATATGGTTTGTCTAGAAGGATCTAGGAAAGGATCTAGGAAAGCATCTAGGAAAGCATCTAGGAAAGGATCTAGGAAAGGATCTAGGAAAGCATCTAGGAAAGCATCTAGGAAAGGATCTAGGAAAGGATCTAGTAAAGGATCTAGGAAAGCATATAGGAAAGCATCTAGGAAAGGATCTAGGAAAGCATCTAGGAAAGCATCTAGGAAAGCATCTAGGAAAGGATCTAGGAAACGATCTAGGAAAGGATCTAGAAAAGCATCTAGGAAAGCATCTAGGAAACCTTAAAGAAAATGGGAACAAGCTGAATTTACTTGGACACATAATGAGGAAGGAGGATTTGGAAAACTTAACACTCATAGGGCATATTAGGAGCAAGAGAGATAGAAGGTAGCAAGCCACCTAACCGACAGGCTTGTGTGAATGGATGGCAGAGCAGGGTAGCCTTAACAAGAGGAGAAAACCTGCCAAAAGAGAGTCACAAGAAATAGGACATTTTGGAGAGCCATGATCGCCCATGACCCTTCAGGTCATGGGCGATCATGGCTCATGGTACATCATGCTCGATCATGGTACATCATGGGCGATCATGGTACATAGAAGTTAATGTTTAGGTCTAAATAGTGACTACAAAATGAAGGATGATTTTTAAAGACAACTATAATGTTTATATCCTATTAGCAGTCAGTAGATTCATGTGCTAGTAAAATCTATCATACCCAAGATGTATAAATATCTACATTAACATACATGAATGGTCATTTTGGTGTGTGTCTGGTTGATGCTGGTTATTTTAATGAATGAAGTGGAAAAACTTAGTTTTTAATTGCTTGTGTCTCTTAATTAATCGCCTCTTAATGAAAGCTGCAAATTAGCCCCAAGGGTTGCTTTTGCCACACAATGGATTATCCTGCATGACAGTTTTATTTGTTCATAAATTTCATTTTGCTTTTAGTTGAAAATAAACTAAAATTATGGAGTGGCTTTTCTTTGTTTGTTTTTTGTTTTGTTTTTTGCACAAGACAAATAGGAAAAACCATGCATTTCTATGAAAAATCATTTACACTGCACTTCTTCAAGGAATCATTTGAAATAAATTTCTTTGGTAAAATCATTTAATTGCCTGCTACCATGCATTTCTATGATAAATCATTTGAAATACATTTCCTTGGTAAGAGCACATGTCAATCGGTTATATTATTAGCTAGCAAATGTAACCCACAAAATCACAAGTAAGATTTAATATACATATATGAAAATTTTGATGAATTCTAATAATCACACACACACACACATACAAACCCTGACATGCATGCACACACGGACACTCACACACATATATACATAAAAATTTTTATTTAAACATGTTTTGTATACATAGTCTAGCTGATTTCATTTAGTTTCTGTTTAAAAAAAATTTTCCTTCATGCACATCTGTAGTCACATTAATATAGACATAAGTGTATATATATATATATATATATATATATTGTTACAAACACCCACTTAAATTTATTACAAAAACTATACCATTGCTTATATTTTAGAAGCATTCTAAAATAAAGAGCCCAGTACTTGCAGAAATGTAGAGATAGAAAGCCCAAAGAGATAAGGTAGACTTAGTAGTGACAAAGATTAACCAGAATGTACCCTTTCTTTCTCTTTTGATAAACATGTTGACAGCATGATTTACATGGATAGATTCCAGATAGGAAAAGTTGAAACACTTTAAACTAAACTTTCTCTGACCCTGCAAATGAGAGAGGGGGTCAATGACCTCTATTTCGCCAACAATGGGAAAAAGTTTGTATTTTAAAATTGACCATGTGACAAGAAAAAATAGGAAATGAAAAGTGAAACAAGAAAGTTAGTCTTGTCCAGGCCTAAGGGCCGAACGAACATGTTTGCGAAAATACGAGAAAGAGAATTCATCTTTGAATGGAATAGATGGACCCATTTGCTATGAAAGCAAAAGTTTTGGTTGGCTATGCAGAAAAAAAGTCCCTCTTTGAATCTCGAACGGACGACCAAACGCAAACACATGGAACACAAAAGAAACGTTGAATTTTGGGAAATAAACTACGATGTATGACGAATGCCACTACATTGGGATGAAAGAGAGATATAAGACAGCTTTGATTTACCCATCACCCAAGTCCCAAGAGCAGATGCTTATAGAAAAATAAAAGAAGAAAGCGAGAAAAGATCTCAAAAGGAGGTACTTATGGGAAAAGGAAAGAAAGGAAGATCCAAAAGGAGAATGATGCCATACTGAGATGAAAGAGAGAGAGAAGGAAAGCAGTTTCAGCTTAATCATCACCCAAGCCCCTAAACAAGGGACAAAAGGGAAAAGAAAGAAAGTAAGAAAAGACCACCTCAAATGAGAATGCTGCTACATCGTGACGAAAGAAAGAAGGAAAGCAGTTTCAACTTAATCGTCAGCCAAGCCCCTAGACAGGACAAAAAGAGAAAGAGAGGAAGTAAGAAAAGACCTCAAAAGGAGACACTTATAAAAAAAAAATAGAAAAGGAAAAAGAGAAAAGAAAAAAGGAAGAAGTAGATATAAGAGACATTAGTGGAAAAGAACTTTTATTACGAGATAAGTTAGTTGTTTTTCTTGTGCTTCGTTTTTGTTTAAATGTACTTCTTTTTCATGTTTGTACTTTCATACAAGTCTGGCATGAGACCATTTTATTACATGTTTCTTTCTACTTGTCTTAAAATTTTGATGTTTTGTAAATGCATGCAAGTATGGCACATGTTCTGTAAATTCTTGCAAGGCCATATGTTGATTTGTGATTTACCTTCCAAAGAGGATGTTCCCTTCCACTATTTTGTCCACAATGTTTAAATGTTTATTCTTGACACATTGTCATCTTTGTTTTGGCCGGTTTTTTTTATCTTTCCAATGTTTTTATGTTTATTAATAAATTTATATTCCTTGTCACCATTGTTGTTTGTCGCCTATCATGTTTGTTCCTTAATCGATTCTGCTCAGCCGTGTCTGATCAATAGGAAAGAGACCCTTGGGAAAGAAATATATTTTATGAAAATTGAGTGAATGTAAATGTCAAAAAAAAAAATAACACAGATTACGATCCTCCACTACCAATAAGGTTGGAGGAAGGGGGAGGGTCGTAAGAGATGTGGGCTTGCCCGGGAATTTTTCTTTCCTTTTACACCAATTTTGGTCATTCACCTAACTGAGCATAATTTGGAACACCAGTGGTCAACGGACGGAAATGGAAGATCTGGAAGAAAATATATAGCATCTCTCTCTGTAGAAAGATTGCTGAGCTTAGATACTAGTGAACTTGTTAGCAAAATCATAGACCTTTCCGAAACATAGGATCATAGTCTCGAAAATAAGGACAGAGTGGAAATTGATGCCCTCGATTTGTCCCAGACATTGCTAAACTTCAAGAGGTATACACCAGTTATTTCCCCAAGGACTTTATAGTTGAACATAGAAAGACATCTCAGTGAGTAGGGAGTCTCTTGCTACAGAGCAGAGATTAGGTCCCAAAATAAATACCTTATTTTTCATAGCCCCCATTATACCCCATACCTGCATGTAAGGAACCATTTCAGAAAGTGGCTAAGTGCTTGATTCAGTCAACATGACAAATTTATCAAATATCTCATGCCTCGCTGTAAATCCGTTGCAGTCCTGATGTCTTCTGATTACCATCCTTATGTCCATAGGCTTCATGTCAGTAACAAAAGATGTTAAAAAAAAAAAATTCTCGATAATATTCTTATATTTGTGCCGTCAAAAGGCAGCAAAGAAGCCTAAAGAAAAGGCAGAAAAAGCAATTGCCACACTATGTTGCATGTGGTAACCTTCCAGGGAGTGTTGACAAGAACTCATTATGTGATCCATGGAAGTATGTTGTTATCCACAGACTATCGCTTCTTGCTATGTCCTTGATAAATATGTATGCTGATAAAGAATGAAAATTGAAAGAATAAATGCTACTAAGTGAATCAGTGGGCCTTGCCTGAATGTTGAATATTCTGTAAAACGTTCTAATTAGAAAAAATAGTTGGCAGCCGAACGAAAATAAGTATAGCCTGATGGATGGAGGATGAGATGATCGTAAGTTAAATCACTGTGACGGATGTCAAAGTAAGATCATAATGAATTTTGAAATTCTTTAAAAACGCCACTGGTAAGGGAAATGAGGACTACATCATCCTCCAATATAAAGTGGTCGGTTTGACATTAAATGTGATAGCAGGCAATGAAATACAAAACAAAAAAAATTAAACTATTTGTTAAAAGGTAATATTTTCTTTTGGGAGGATCTCGTAATGTGTTTTTGGGGAAAAAAAAAGAGTCAGCATGTTTAACTGAATTTTATGTTCGATTGAAATGAGAACTTTTGACATTGTTTATTCCCTCTATTCATATAAATGAAAGTATGAGGATGATAGTTCTTAATTAGTACAAGAACAATTCTATATGATAACATTTATGATAAGTATTACTGCATATTGTCCTTCTTTCTTATACTAAGGCTTATATCAACATGATGATTTAATTGAGAAAATTGGCCATTATCAAAATATAAACCCTTTTAAGATTAGAAAAATGCAATGGATATATCCATAGACTTTTTCTTTTTTGATGAGGAGGGTGTGACGTACCAACAATTTCATTAACCATATAGGTGTAAGGCTAAAAAAGCACCCCCAAAGGAAAGTCCCAAATTCTACTCAGATTTCATGCATGTACATGTTTGTAGGCTGAGAGATGTGTTTTATGTTGTCTGATTTCTTTAAGAACTTGTTGAATATTATATGGATTAATATCATGAAAGAGTTCTTTAATATTGGTTGGTTGATTTTGTTTAGTGGTATATCAATCTCTATCATATCTCTAATACCGAAATCTAAATATTTTGGACACAATTTTATGGCTTCAACTAAATATATTTTAAACGTAATTGTATGCCTTTAATTATGAATAAAATGTATTGTTGGTCATTCTATATGTTTTGTATTTTTATGCTTTCATAGTATCTTGTTTTTGTTTTCACTATTTTCCTATTGCTAGAACCCTAACAGGTACTGCCACTCCAAGTCAGGGTGAATATGGTATCAACAGCAATTATGAGATGGTTTCATGCTCCTCAAAAACTCCAATCTCCCAATCAGAGGCCTAGCTGCCAGATGTAGTTTATCATCATACTCAGGACTGTAACAACCATGAAGAAAGTTTTATAAGTTTTATAACAATTTGGATATTCCTTTATTCGTTTTCCATATCAGCATTCAATGACTTTTGAGATAAGTGAATATAATGTCATTGTCTATTATCTATGATCTTAAAATGACTATTAATGTTGTCAAAATGTGTCACAAAATGTATTTCTGTGATGTGAATTTAACCAACTAATGACATTAACCAGATAAAAAAAAGACAAGACAGCTTTTGACTATACTATTTGCATTTTCCTTTCAACAGAAAATGGAAAAGCTGGGAACATGGAAAAGCAACATTTTACTTATTTCTCAAATTACAACTGCATGCAATACTATAATTCATTTTGAAAAGATACTATATAGGTCTGTATCAGCAGCCATCAGCATGCTTGTATGACAATGATTTGCATCATTATTTCTCAACGGAGAACAACATTTCTTGATTTCACATTGCTTCTTTATCTCATAAGTTTAATATACAAGAAGCCAAAAATGAAGTATTATTTTAAACTTGATCTCAAAGCCAGTGAAGCTGTTTGTAAAATACAGAAAATGAAATGATATTTAACAACATTGCCCAAAAGTGTGTTTTAAGACAAGCCCAGAAGTGGTCAAGTATTTGTTATTGATCAGACTTATAGATGAGAACCTAAATAGCTGTGTAGCTGATGATCATGTGACTGGCATTTGCTTTCCTATTTATTTAAAGTTTAAGCAGAACAAAATTTAAGATATTTTTGTTTTTAAAAAAATCAAGACCATGTCCAAATCTAATTATCCGGCCTGTTTCAATTTGTTCAAAATTGTACAAAAATTATGAGACATTTATGCAGTAGTGAAATTACATTTCTAGACACTAAAAGATGGCATCATATATATTGTGTAAGAATTCTTGGCTTATTTAACTGACCTTTATCTATGGCTATTGCCTCAAGGAAAGATTCAAATGCTGTTGACAACATCAAGTGTAAACATAACACAATATCTATTCATAGAAAATTGTAAAAGTTGGTGTATTGGCTTTGTAATATATAGTATTGGAAAGATGATTGTTGTTGATATAAAAAAAAGAATCAAGACAAAATATTGAAATTCTGTACTTACTAACAGTGATTTTGAAAAACAACTGATTTCTGAAAAACATGAAAGATTATATATGTACTGATCATGGTAGGTGTATAATAAGTGGGTGAGAAGTGGCATCTGTGACTTTGACAACAGTAAATGGTTCATTTATGATAAAACTTATTGAAATTAAGAGCATTTTTACATTGTTAAACTTTGTTTATTTTTTTTAAATGAATTTGAGAATATATTAACTTTATTTTTAAATCAATTTTAAAGTATCTTCAAATTAAGTATAGAGAGTATAGACATCATTTTAAGCCAACTCCAGGAACATGTATCATCCCTAATGTGGAATAAGATTGTATTTAAAAATGAATGACTGCTGGCTTTAGCACAGATTATATTTGCTTATTTATGTATAAGTATTTGTATGTATATGTTTTTATCTATGTGCATATCTCTGAGTATGAGTATATATAAGTGCATATGTTTGTAAATGTATGTGTCAGAGGGTGAAATGGAAATGATAAAGGCAAATAGAAAACAGACAGCATTTGAAGTATAGTGCATCCAAATAGTTTAATACCCTAACGATGGAAAAGAAGTCTCTCATCCAGTGCTGTAATTTCTATGCAATTACTAATAAAACAATAATTGATTGATTTGTTTTTTATGGCTTATCAACCTTTTGCAGGTTATTTAAAGCCAGAAAATATTTTTAGATTGTAAGAATATTTTGGAAATAATAATGATTTACTGAGACAATTGCTACTAATTAACCCATAGCTGAGAAAGAAGAGATGAATTCATACCTTTCCAAGATTATTTTGCATAAGTGGATATAACAAACCCAATTGGAATTGGAACTTGGTTCTCTGATTTCCAATTCTGAGTTTATCCATTACGCCATCCACACATTCAAGCTTACAGCACCTGGTATTCTTAAGAGAATAAATCAATAATACTGTGTTGCAGTGTTATGACACATTGATCAAATATATAAGAGTTGGATCTTTGTAGTAAATTCATTTTTCTGTTGACTTATTATTAAGTTATTCAAGTGGTTCAAATTTCTTCATGATTTTGAATTTAAATCCAAACTTTATTTATTTATTTTTTTACTCGTGCCATGTCAAATGGAAGTTGGTAGATATAACATCTTGCTCAGGGGTATATCTGAACTGTACAGATGCACAATGATGGATCCAAACTGAAT